GCTGCAGCGGCGTCCGCGCGAAATTCTTTCGCCCCAGCAGCTTCGTGAGTGGTACGCTCAGAGTAGAGGGTCACGGAGTACTGCTCGCTGCCCGTAGGTCATTCGCACAGGTACTCGGGCTGGTCAGCCTTGCTGGACAGTTGATCCACAGAATCCCGCTGCTTGTCCTCTCTAAACGACGCCTGGCGTACAGAGTTTGGCGACGACGCTGAGCTCCCCTCCTGGCTGGAGCTGCTTAGGCAGGGGGTAGATATCTTTGTTCTTGACTATGATGCTATCCTCACTGCCCTGTATGCATTGCCTACTAGTGCTGAGGGTACCTGTTACCTGTGTGTGCTGCCTAACCCAGGTATAGAGTCTACTGCTCTAGGTGCTGGTGAGGCTGCTGCTATAGGTGCTGGTGAGTCTCCTGCTCAAGGTGCCAGTGAGGCTACTGCTCTAGGCACTAGTGAGTCTACTGCTCCAGGTTCTGGTGAGTCTGCTCTCTCTGGTACTGTGTCTGCTGCGGCCTTGCACACCTTCACGCTTGACTCAGGAGCTTCCCGCTCCTTCTTTCGCGACTGCACCACACTCAGGCCGCTTGGTCGGCCGGTGGCGTCTCTCTGGCTGACCCCTTTGGGGGTCCGGTCCTTGCACACTCCTCCACGGTTCTGTCGTGTCCGGCGGTCCCGTCTGGCTCTCTGTCTGACCTCCACCTCCCCTCGTTCTCCACGAACTTGGTGAGTGGAACTGACCTTCAGGACGCGTGGGTTGACCAGTTCACTCCTAGAGGTCAGCGGGTGACCCACTTTTCGTGTACTCGGACGGGCCGGCACCTGGCCACGTTCACCCATCAGCTTGGGTCGAGCCTGTATACCCTGACTACCGTGTCTCCTCCAATTGCTGAGTATGGTCAGGTAGCCGTGTCGGATCATGTGTTTGCTGCGGCGTCCAAGACTGGTCCTGAGTCTGCCCCCTGCTCGTGTCGCCTCCTGTCTCACCAGACTCTCCTTTGGCTCCACCGTCTTGGTCACCCCTCCCAGCCCCGTCTCCGAGGCATGGCCTCCCGTGTCCTTCTCACTGGTCTTCCCCGGTCTCTCCCTCCCCTTCCCCCGGGGCCAGCCCCTACCTGCGTTCCTTGCATCGAGGGGCGGCAGCGCGCCGCTCCTCACTCCTTCGAGTTCCCTCCGATGGAGGCTCCACTGCAGACTCTTCACATGGACGTGTGGGGCCCAGCCCGCGTCCATGGACAGGGTCACGAGCGCTACTTACTGCTGGTCGTTGACGACTACTCGCGTTACACCACAGTCTTCCCCTTGCGCCGCAAGGGTGAGGTCACTGAGGTGCTGATCGTCTCGATCCGCGCTGCCCGTCGTCAGCTCAGCGAGAGTTTCGGCTCGGACCTTCCTGTTCTGCGTCTGCACTACGACAGAGGTGGAGAGTTTTCCTCCGACCTTCTGTGAGCCTTCTGTCATGCGGAGGGCATCCGCCAGATGTTCACGCTTCCGCCCTCTCCACAGCAAAATGGGATTGCTGAGCGCCTCATTGGCATGGTCATGGACGTCGCTCGTACGTCCATGATCCATGCGGCTGCTCCCCATTTTCTGTGGCCGTTCGTAGTTCAGTACACGGCGCATCAGCTCAACCTCCAGCCCCGGATCTCCTGCCGGAGACCACACCTACTCTACGGTGGACGAAGAAGGTTGGCGATGCGTCTGCGTTCCGTGTCTGGGGATCTCGAGCTTTCGTCCGCGACATGTCTGCGGACAAGCTGTAATCCAGTGCTGTTCCCTGCGTCTTCCTTGGCTTCCCCACTGACGCTTCTGGTTGGCAGTTTTTCCACCCCACCTGGCGCCGTATTTTGTCCTCTCAAGGACGTCACGTTTGATGAGTCGGTTCCTTACTACCGTCTCTTCCCCTACCGCACTGTCCCCCTCCCCTCCCCCCCCCCCCCCCCCCCCACGTGCGCGTGTGGAGTCTGGAGGTGCTGAGCGTGGAGGTCCTTCGGGTGCTTCGTCCCGGCGGGAGCCACTCTCTCCACAGCAGCTGTGCGAGTGGTTTGCTTGGCGCTGGAGCCGTGCTGCGGGAGCTGGTGGTGCTACGGGCGCTGGAGGTCCTGCTGCTGCTAGAGCTGCTGGGGGTTCTGAAGCCACTGGTCTCGGAGGTGCTCGTACTGGAGGTACTGGAGGTGCTGGGCCTGGTGGTCCTGCTGGAGCTGGAGCTGCTGGAGGTGCTGGAGCTGGAGGTGCTGCTGGAGCCGGTGCTCCTGTGGGTGTTGGAATCAGCGCTACTGGTGCTACTGGAGGTGCTGCTGGAGCAGGTGGTGCTGCTGGAGTTGGAGCTGACGCTAGGGGTGCTGGTGCTGTCTCTGCGGGTTCTGGAGGCGCTGCGCGGCCGAGGCCGTACTACGTTCCGCTCCTTCAGCAAGTTCTTGGTCTCCCGCCTTCTACTCGTCCTGCTCCTTCCTTAGAGTGTCCACCACCTATCCAGTCGCAGTCACAGTTACAGACCTTCTCTCCCACCCCGAAGATGACCAGTCTTTGAGTACTACTGCACGTCGCTGCTCAGCGTGACTACGAGCTTCACTCTCTTGACTTCAGCGCAGCCTTCCTACAGGGCAGCCTGCACGAGGAGATCTAGTTGCGCCGCCCACCTGGCTTCACTGGGTCGTTTCCTCCTGGTACCAAATGGATCCTCCGGCGGCCAGTCTACGGTCTCCGCCAGGCACCCCGTAAGTGGCACGACACACTGAGGACTACACTGGCGGCACTTGGGTTTGCTCCTTCTACTGCTGACCCGTCGCTGTTTCTATGCACCGACACTTTGGTGCCGCCATTCTACATCCTCGTGTACGTTGACGACTTGATTTTTGCCAATGCTGGCACTGAGGCACTCGCCCTTGTAAAGTCGGAGCTGCAGAAGAGACACACGTGCACAGACCTGGGTGAGCTGCGCAACTATCTTGGCTTGCAGATCACTCGAGACAGGGCACGCCGCACTATCACCCTAACTCATTCACACATGGTGCAGCAGGTCCTTCAACGCTTCGACTTCCAGTACTCCTTGCCACAATCCACTCCTCTGCCTACCTGTCACTCGCTCTCAGCTCTGCCTTCGGATGAGTCCGTAGAGCCGAGTGGCCCGTATCCAGAGCTTGTGGGCTGCCTCATGTACCTGATGACCTGTACTCGTCCTGACCTTGCTTACCCTCTTAGCATCATGGCACGCTACGTTGCGCCCGGGAGACACCGACCATAGCACTGGAACGCAGCTAAGAGGGTCATGCGCTACTTGTGCAGTATGTTGGGCATGGGGCTAGTGCTTGGAGGACGGGCGCGAGTTGTCCTCTCTGGTCACGCAGACGCTTCTTGGGTTGACGACTTGGCTACGCAGCAGTCGTCACAGGGTTACACCTTCAGCCTTGGCTCCGGTTCAGTCTCTTGGCGGTCTACCCGCTCGTCTTCTGTTTTCAGCTCCAGTTGTGAGGCTGAGATCTACGCAGGGGCCATGGCTGCACAGGAGCTGCGTTGGCTCACCTACCTGCTGACCGACCTGGGCGAGGCGCCTCATTCTCCTCCAGTTCTGTACATCGACAACAAGGCAATGCTTGCCTTGTGTTGCGAACAGAGACCGGAGCACAGAACGAAGCACACCGCTCTTCGCTACTTCCTTGCTCGAGAGTTGCAGCAGCGTGGTCAGCTTCGTCTTGTTTACGTGGCCACTCGGGCCAACACTGCTGATATCTTTACCAAGGCACTTCAGCCTTGTGATCATCAGCGTTTTTGTACTATGTTAGGTCTTGTGCCTACCTGGCCTCACTTGCTCACTACGTGACTTTGCTTGTACTGTGATCTATATATACCTGCACCTGCATGCTTACACTTGCTAGGTTGTGATCACTGTACTACTTGTTCTCCTCTTTATATATAACTCTTCATGTGAACTGGCCTTGTGGCCTTTTGCTTGTGCTCAGAATGCGTGGTGACGTCGTGATCCACCCTGAGCTTGACCTTTGCTTTGTTCTTTTGCTTGTCCCCCACTTTGCCTATGGGGGTGTGTCAGAGTTATACTCTAGGCTGTAGTGGGGCACTCCTTATGGGGTACAGCCTTGTTCGGTTTTGCCCATACAAACCTTGTACTGTTCTCATTCTCATCGTTCCTAGTTCTAATTCTCACATGGAGGGCGCGTAGGGGAAGGCTAGGCGCAGAGGGCGCGTTACAAAGGGCGCGGAGGCGCGCGACGGGAAGTTAGGGCGCGGAGGACGCTAAGGCGCGGAGGGCGCTAGGGCGCGGAGGGCGCTAGGGTGCGTGATGAAGGGCGCGTAAGGCGCGGAGGCGCCGCGGAGGGCGTAAGGTAGGCTAGGCTAGGCAAGGATTCTGAACCTACTCGTGATACCATCTCATAAATAGAATGCTACGGAATGCTAAGACCAGGAAAGCAAGGCAGTACAAATATGAAACCCTAACTGGGCTGTACTCACTAAGGGGCACCTCATTACAGCCTATAACAGATAATAACATTTGACGCAAATGATGAATACAATGTGAGCGAAGGCATGAGCAAACATTTATACGAAATGTGTCAATGGTGACAAGGGCTTGTGACCTAGCCAGCGCAATGCTGACGGCTAGGATCGGGCGAGTCCTGGAGCGTAGGCTGACTCAGCCAACTACAGCAGTGATAGGGTTTAGGGCCAAATAAGCGCTCCATCATGACGCGCACAGCACCTGACCGTTCTTCGCCCTTTAGTAGCGTTTGCCATTTGGCGCGTCACTTATACACTATCCAAATAAATATTTGTCCCCTGCCTAAGAAACTCATGATGAGTTTATTCACATGTTTGGAGCGATCCATCCAAACCAAACACGTACTACGGTATGTAAGGCAATGTGTCTATGACCATTGACTGTACGTTCATCTCTCCTCCCCCCCTCCCAACTCCCCCCCACTCACTAGACTAGACCCACGCACTACACTCACACACTAGTTACTTCCACGCTCTCAATAACTACACATTTTCTTAGACTGTCCTAGCAACCACCACTTCGACTACATCATCATCACTATCAGAGTCCTCTTCCTTCTGGAGATGCCTCAACTGTGCCTTATCTTCTTCCACTTCTTCTCTGCCCCCCCTCTTCCCCATCCCCTTTACAGCGCTCCTCATTACCAGCTTAAGGCCCGACTTTGTCCCCTTTTTACTATCCCCAACTGCAGCAGCAACCCCCTTTCCCATTCCTGCTCTTCCTCCTCCTGCTGCTGCTCCTCCTGTCTGTGGTACATGTATTGTACGAGGCCGCAGCACCCGGCCATGAGCCGCCTTCAACTTGGCAGCTTCAGCCTCCATTCTCGCCGCGGCTCTCCTTGTCATGATCCCACTTTCTCGCTTCACCTCTCTTTCCTCTCGCTTCACCTCGCTCCCTGCACCTGCTCCTGTGGCTATCTCAACAAGTGACCCTCCCTTGATACCCCATATACTTGAACCGCCAAATGTCTTCTTCCCACAAGTCGCTGTTGTATTTTCCGTCTTGACTTTCACCTGCCCTTTCCGCCTTACGCCTTGTTCCTCTTTTCTCTCCACCTCTCCCTCTTCCACACCCTCCTCCTCTACTGCAGTCATCTTGGTCCACTCGATCTCCGATACTCCCTCCACCTCCCCCTCCTCCCTCTCCTCTTTCACTTGCACCACCGTTCTGCACACCTGAATCTCCACAACATCCTCATCGTCCTCCTCTTTCTCCTTCTCGTCTTCCTCCTCTCCCTTCATGATCACACATTCCTTCTTCCTCCCGAGTCCCTGTTTCCGTCCCCTCGTCTCCACCGCACTCCTCTCAACCTCCCGCTTCCTCTTCCGCGCCTTCTCATTCCCATCCTTACACTCTTCTATCAACGTCACCTCATTCCCATCCTGCCCCCCCTCCTCCTCACATCCTCCCTCTTCATCGTTCTCCCCACTCTCTCCTCCTGCTCCGTCACTCCCTCCCTCCGCTTCACCCCCCTCCTCACTGCCACTTCCCCCCTCCACCCCTCCATCCGCCCGTGCTCCTGTGCTCTCCCCATCTTTGACCATCCTAGTGAGCATGAGATAGTGTGCAACCGACTGGTAACCCGCACCCCACACCTGCAGGGCGGGAGAGCACGAGGCGCAAGGAGGGACGGGTGGAATGGGATGGGAGGAGCAAGGATGAGCGGGTGGGTGGGCGAGGGAGCGCGGCAGAAAACATATCACATCCGTGAGGTGAGCGAGGGAGCGCGGCAGAAAACATATCACATCCGTGAGGTGAGCGAGGGAGCGCGGCAGAAAACATATCACATCCGTGAGGTGAGCGAGGGAGCGCGGCAGAAACATATCACATCCGTGAGGTGAGCGAGGGAGCGCGGCAGAAAACATATCACATCCGTGAGGTGAGCGAGGGAGCGCGGCAGAAAACATATCACATCCGTGAGGTGAGCGAGGGAGCGCGGCAGAAAACATATCACATCCGTGAGGTGAGCGAGGGAGCGCGGCAGAAAACATATCACATCCGTGAGGTGAGCGAGGGAGCGCGGCAGAAAACATATCACATCCGTGAGGTGAGCGAGGGAGCGCGGCAGAAAACATATCACATCCGTGAGGTGAGCGAGGGAGCGCGGCAGAAAACATATCACATCCGTGAGGTGAGCGAGGGAGCGCGGCAGAAAACATATCACATCCGTGAGGTGAGCGAGGGAGCGCGGCAGAAAACATATCACATCCGTGAGGTGAGCGAGGGAGGGAGGCACATATCACATCCGTGTGAACTGTCCCATTTCATCCGAGTGAGCTGCCCCATCCCATCCGAGTGAGCTGTAGCAGTACCTTCAGAAAGAACGGTGCGGTGAACACCCATCCCTTGCGGTCGACTCCAAGCCCACCTTTGTGCTGTAAGCACAAGCTTATCACGTATATGGTTACCACTAGAGAGATGTAGCGTTACCTTGTGAAAGAGCGGGCCAGTGGGCCTCCATCCCTTCGCGGTTTCTGCAGATGGAGCAGTTGCAGATGTTCCGACACACCGGACACTCGCACGCGGGGTTGAAAGGAAGTAGGGTAACCAGAAGGCTGTTACACCTTGTGGTGATGCTACCCGGTGAAAGGGAACCCGAGGGACAGTACCTTGTGAAAGAGCGGTCCAGTGGGTCCCCATCCCTTGCGGTTTCTGCAGATGGAGCAGTTGCAGATGTCCCTACACACCGGACATTCCCACGTGGGGTCAGCTAGCGCCTCCTCTATGTTCTCGCCGTACCTGGAAGGGAAGGGGGACGGGAATGGAATAAAGGAGAGATAGATTGGTTGGTCGATGTGCACAGGGCATAGCAAAGAGGCACTTTTGAAATCTCTCAAAAGCTCCACATGGGGCCTCCGGGTCACCTAGGACGTCTTCTTTGTTCTCAAATAGTCCCACCTCATTTGTTCATCTTTGAGACGTCTCAAAAATACACATTTATCAGCAGCTGCCTCCGGGTCACCTTGGACGTCTTCTGTGTTTTCAAATAGTCCCACCTCATTTGTTCATCTCATGTAGTCGCATGCTGACTCTTTCATCAGAATGTTCTGCTTTTGAGTCGACTCATTTAAAAGCAGACTCATTTAGTCGCATGCTGACTCTTACATCAGAATGTTCTGCTTTTGAGTCCACTTATTTAAAAGCAGACTCATTTAGTCGCATGCTGACTCTTACATCAGATTGTTTCACCTCGTCTCACCTCATATAGTCTCAACCACATATCGTCTCACCTCATATAGTCTCAACCACATATCGTCTCACCTCATATAGTCTCAACCACATATCGTCTCACCTCACAAAGAGACAGTCAAGGTAACAACACCCAAGGTGGCACCACCCGCTCACCTTACGAACAGGCAGTCTCCGCAGAACTGCCCGCACACAGAGCGATCCTTGCACGCCGCACACTCACTGAGTTGATAGCCCCACACATCTCACCTCATACAATCTCCCCTAATATAGCCTCACCTCACGAACAGGCAGTCTCCGCAGAACTGCCCGCACACAGAGCGATCCTTGCACGCCGCACACTCACTGAGTTGATAGCCCCACACATCTCACCTCATACAATCTCCCCTAATATAGCCTCACCTCACGAACAGGCAGTCTCCGCAGAACTGCCCGCACACAGAGCGATCCTTGCACGCCGCACACTCACTGAGTTGATAGCCCCACACATCTCACCTCATACAATCTCCCCTAATATAGCCTCACCTCACGAACAGGCAGTCTCCGCAGAACTGCCCGCACACTGAGCGATCCTTGCACGCCGCACACTCACTGAGTTGATAGCCCCACACATCTCACCTCATACAATCTCCCCTAATATAGCCTCACCTCACGAACAGGCAGTCTCCGCAGAACTGCCCGCACACAGAGCGATCCTTGCACGCCGCACACTCGGTGCGCAGCCCCAACGTCTTCTGCCTGTAAGGAAAGGGGGAGGTGCAGAGGAGGAAAAGAGGAGGTGCAGAGGAAGGCAATGCGGTGGAGAGGCTAAATATGGGCTTGCAGGTTAAGCCTTGCACGACGCACACCCGGTGCGCAGCCCCAGCGTCTTCTGCCTGTAAGGAAAGGGGGAGGTGCAGAGGAGGAAAAGAGGAGGTGCAGAGGAAGGCAATGCGGTGGAGTATATCGGCTTGCAGGTTAATCCTTGCACGGCGCACAATCGGTGCACAGCCCCAACGTCTTCTGCCTGAGAAAAGGCAGAGCAGAAGGGGACGGGTAGGGTTTTAGGGGAGGAAGCTAGGAGAATGAAACGGAGACATTTTTTTGAGACGCCTCAAGACTACTAGTGGTACCATTTCCAGTCGATACCTGCATTGGTGGCATGTCTTTCCGTTAACAGGGTCATACACCCTCGTCTTGAACCGCTCAACGTTGATGTCTTACAGCTTCCATTCCATGATCTTCCATTCCTGATCCGATTACTTGCATTGGTGATACGTCTTTTCATTAACCGGGTCACAAGTCCATTCAAAGGATTTCCTTCTTGTTCCATGCCTGCATTTGTGACAAGTCTTCCTATTTACAGGGTCATAGATCCTCATCTTGTATCACTCAACGTTGATGTCATAAGGCTTCAAGTGGCGATTATCACTCTGTGCTCTTATTCATTGGTGACCGCCTTCCCATTACCATGGTGATAAAGCCAATCAAGGGGTTTCCTTCCTGTTCCGTACCTGCATTGGTGGCATGTCTTCCCATTCACAGGGTCATAGACCCTGTTCTTGAATCGCTCAACGCTGATGTCATACGGCTTCACATGCCCTCGAAGCTTCCTCAGGTCTTCCTCCGTGTACACCTCCTTCCCGCACCGAACCACCGTCCCAGCCTCGGCCGAGCCTGCCGAGCCCATGGGACGAAGCTGCCAGGCTCGGGTTCGGCGTGTAGTGCTGCGCTCTGGCGTTTTGTCGTCCAGCTCGACGTATTGGGTTACAGGGGAGTTCTGAAGCCTGGTGGATGGTGGGAGTGGGGGAAGGGGGATGATGGAGCAGAAGAAAGGGGAGACGGGAAAAGCTATTTAGTGCTGCGCTCTGGCGTTCTCTTGCCCAGCTCGATGCATTGCATAGCAGGGGAGTTCTGAAGCCTGGTGAGAGGGGCGCGGGGCGATGGGGGAGGGACAGTGACAAGGTAGGCAGAAGGGGGAAGACAAGGCAGAGCGGTTCGGTGCTGCACTCTGGCGTTCTGTCGTCCAGCTCGAGGTATTGCGTAGCAGGGGAGTTCTGAAGCCTGTTGAGAGAAGGGGGGGTTGGGAGTTTGTGTGGAAGGGGGAGGGGACAAGTGGGGGGGTGGGAGATTGGGGAGGAGGGCGGAAGGAGGAAGATGGGGGTTGTGTGCGGTGCTGCGCTCTGGCGTTCTTTCGTTCAGATCGAGGTACAGGGTAGCAGGGGAGAAGGGGAGCGGCGGAGAAAGTGGGGGAGAAGAAAGGGGGTAGACTGGGCCCGAGGGGCACAGAAGGGGGAAGACAGGGCAGAGGCGTTCAGTGCTGTGCTGCTTTGCTCTCCTCTCTAGCTCGTGGTATTGGGCAGCGGGGGGGGTCTGTAGTATGGTGAGAACGGCGTTGTCGAAACGTATTAGAATCTAGGCGGACGTGCGCGGTACAACTTTTAAAACGCCTCAAAATACTTCTGCGCGGCACGTGCAAAAACAGCTCATGACTGGCGGCGATGATGAGGAGTCTCGAAGCCGCGTTTGGAAATGTGCGAAGGAGTCACATGCTGGATCGACGAACTTCCGCGAAGAGCTTTCGCCGCGTCCACAACCAGCGAGGGTATCGCTGATGCGCTGCTTCTGCGACGCTTCTCAAGCTTCGAGTTTCTTCAAGTTTATAGATGCCTCAAGTTTTCAGACGCCTGGAGAGTAAAAATGCGCGAAAGAATCACCTGCCGGATCGGCGAACTTTGTCGAAGAGCTTTCGCCGCGTCCACGTCCGTCGGGGCTGCTTCTGCTGCTGATTCTCGCCGGCCTGCCGGCGGGTCTCCTGGGTTAAATCCGCCGACAGGCTCTGCAGCTCCGCGAACGCGCGCTGCGTCGCCTGCATTTTCGCCTGCCGCAGCTGCTCGTACGTCATCACGCTGCCTGCAGGCGGCGGTTCGACGGGAGCCATTCGAAAGGAGTCTGGTGGTGCAGCAACGAGAAGCAGGAGCTGTCTTTGAATCTGAAAACTACTCGAAAATGGTGGGGGGAAGAGAGGATTTGTAAGTTGGAGTGGTGAAAGGGGGAGGTGCGGGAAGGGAGAGGGGGGGAGGGATGTGGTTGGCGGGTGGTGGGTGGCGCGGCGAAAGCATCTTTGGATTCAGAATTTCCAGAGGATCGTGACAATCTCCTGGTTGTCTTGGGATTCTGCTCTTTGGGACTGGGACTTTGCAAGTCAAAAGAATGAGCCCAAATGTTCTGTATGTGTAATTTGAGACTTGATTACGCCCTCAAGTGATGAGGTCGATTTGGGATTTGAAGTGGATAGCTCGAACTGGAATTCAGGGTCGTGGGGAGGGCTCAACGTCTGCGCAGGAATATTTGCGGTAAGGGGGAGGAGGGAAAGATCCATTCTTTTGTGGAGGGAAATCACGTGGTTGGTTTGTCAAGGATTTCGAAGCGTCTCCCACATTTCAAAACAATTCTGTACGAGATGCCCATACCTGCCCGACATCATCAAGTCGCGTGTGAGAGATGCCGCAGTACCACCATGACGAAGGAATTTGGGTTGGGTGTACTGTACTGGAAAGGCAAGACCAACCACACACACGATAAAATGTTTGCACTGCCCATAACAGGCTTTCGGAAGGATGTGCGGAGCGGAGGAGCACATAGTTCCCTTTGATTTTGTGGCGCGAAACTGACGTGGCTGGTTTGTCAGAGATCGATAGGCTCTAAAGGTCAAAGTGATTGGCCGAGGACAAACTCTTTGCCCTTCCCAACAACACATCATCAAACACGATGGAGGAATTTGGGTGCAGTAAAGCTATCAACAAAGCACACCACACAGCGAACGGTTCTGCTTGTGGCGAAAACCATTCACGAAGATAACAGCAGCGACACCACCACCAACGCCAACCATGAAACCAACAGGATGACTTCCACCCCAATTGGCTTCGCAAACTAAGAATCCACCACAGAGAACGCCGGCCCTGTTCGGTAGCCTCCCAGTGGCACTGGACCCACTCGAACTGGGGAACCTTGCGACGGGCAAGTTCGATTTGTTTTTGTTTTCCTCTTTGAACAGCAGGGTAACCTTGTCCTCTTTGAATAGCAGGGTAACCTTGCGACGGGCAAGTTCGATTTCTGGATTTCTTCAGCTTGACGACTGCTGCTCTATGGGTGGTTTCAGAAGGAAACGAAGAGTGCAAGCGGGTGCACGGGATAGGAGAACTGAATACTAGAGAAGCTGATCCCTCTCACAGTGCTGCAAACTTCACTTGATTCAATCGTTTTTTGCCAGTGATTGAACATGGCTTCCTTTCATACCATGCAGCAGGCAGTTCTTAAACTAACGGACTGGTTGCAAGTCAAAGGACAATTTAACGGTCTTCTGGAAAGACTTTTACGCGGAGAATCCGTTCTTCCTGTCCCCGTAGACGGCATGGAGCTCGCTGATTGGTCCCTGGGAACCGCGATTCTGCTTCTTTCGGACGTCCGATCGATTTCGACTTTCCTTTCCGAACATTTCCTCGTCGTCCTGTCTGGAACGGACGTAAAGAAGGAAGAAGAAGGGTTTCCGCCAGAGAAGGACAGACCTCGTATCCGATCTCGTGCCTTGCTTCTGATCCGATTTACTACGGCTCCGATTCCGAATCTGACGGTCGAGGAGGCCTGGATTGCCAAGATCCATCTGGGACCGTCAAATCAGCTCGTTCGCATCCATGGCGTGGTTTACTTTGCGTCGTTAACACGAAAGATATCCAACCCCTGCTCTATTAATCAAGCCAGAATGGAGTGAGCATGAGTGAGCGACAGCTGCAATTACTTGAGTGAGCTTGCTGTACAGGAAGGCTGGCACACCTGGATTTTGCATCTGGGAAACATGCTTCAGATACAGTCCTCTTCTCTTCTTTCATATTTTTTTCTGTCTTGTAAAATGTTTTCCTTGACCGTTTTTATTTTCGTCCATGGAATAATATCCTACCACATTATCTTCATGAGGAGGATTCAGTGCCAGACATGCGGGCGAGTGAAGGACGTGTGGTGGACAGATGACGTTGCATCCCAAGTCCTGTGTTGCCCTTCGAATTCCTTCAGTGAAGACCTGTCACGGCGAATCGAAGCGGAGTTGCAGGTAAGTCATAAATGATTTGCTTCAGTCGTTTCATTTGACATAAGTCACATTTGTCGCATCTACTGACGTGTGAAAAGCTTTCAGGATATCGTATTGGGGCCTATACCCACTCTTAGAAAAAGCGATCAACGCTTTTCAAGGCCTCCACTATTTCACGTGCTTCTGCTTCATGATCTAGCTGGCAGGCTCCACGTGGGTGCTCTCTGCGATGTGATTGGACACACGTGGAGTCCAGGTTCATCTTATCAGCTACCTCCCAATACCCAGATCTTTGATGCTACAAGAATCATTGCTAACAATCTGATTTCAGGCGAAGAAACGGTCCGGTCCAAGCCAAAATTTGCTAACCCCATGGGGAAATTGTTTGGGATTCATGACATGAAAAAAATTCCTTCCAGCCCGAAAGTTTCTTCCAGCCAGTTGGCTTCTAGCAGCCCGACTTGCTCCCAGTCTGACAGCCTCCTTTCCCAGAATCCCTTCCTATCTCAGTCCCAATTTTTTTCGCAAACCCAGGACTGGCACAGCATCCCAAATCCTGTCTCATCACCACCAGATGAGGGTTTGTCTATCCTCATCCGACTAGCAGATTCCTTGAAGAGAGAAATTGTCATCAATCTCGCTGGAAGTGCTCTGGGAATCACAAGCCCTGAGGGAATTGCAGGGCTCTCAGATTCAGATGCATTTGCAATCCCAGAGCTTCTCCCTCTTGCTCTCCTCCTCAGCCTGGTCTCAGCTCCTGGTAGCACCCCTCTCCCGTCCCAGTCCCACACTCCACTCCAAGCCATTTTAGGGAAAACCGCCACTTCAAATCTCCACCACCACAACCCCCAGAACTCCGCCCATCACCGACGTTCCAAGATCAACATCCTCTTGACATCCAACGGCCGATGTCCGATCCTGGAGAGGTCCCTAGAAGTTGCCTCTCAGCTAGCCAGGCGAAGCATCCGGCATGTCATGGGCTTGCAACCCCCAAGAGGCCGCCACCTCCTAGGAAAGAAACTCTCTGCAAAATCCGACGAGCATTTCCTTCCCAGTTCCGGGATGGATGGCTTGTCTGCTGGAAGCTTAGCCCTGGGGAGCTCTGGGATTGTTCTGACGGATGTTTCCAGGGGGTTGGTGCGGTTGGATGCGGCTGTGCTACTGAGCCAGGCCATGGACCGGCATAAGATCGTCGCGGGAGCTGCTGGGATGGCTGTGGGCTGCGGGACGGTATGGGCGACGTATTTTGGTGAGGAGAACTGGTCAGGAGGAGGGCAGCACGCCTGTTTGACCTCCAACAGTGGGACAAAGGAAACAGCTGCTCGGCTGGCATCAGGGCTGCCTGGGCCTGTGCTTGCAGATCTGATCACTGCAAAGAAAGACGCTCCTCTGGCTAGAATTCTGCCGAAATTCGACATTGTGCTGTCGCCTGCGAATTCCTCTGGCGGTGCTCCCGTCATTGGTGGTATCGCTGGCGTTGGCGGTGCTGCTGGGATAAAACGGAAAAAAGGTGGCAGGAAAGCAGGCGGAAATTCCTTCCTGGATGGAGCAGAGGAGGTGGATTCATGGGATACGGAGCTGCCTGCGTTGATGACTATGGCTGAGATGCAGAAGCACGTGGAGGCTGCTAGCAGAGTGGCAGTGTCGCCTTGCTTCTCAGAGGAGGCATGCAGTGTGCTGCATGCTTACTACCTTGTGATTCGCCAGGCCAAGGTGGACCAGGATGTTGGGGACGTGTCGCTGCTGACTCTGGAGAGCCTCATTCGAGTTGCCATCTCGTGTGCCAAGCTATGCATGAGGTACGATATTGCTCTTGACACATGAATCACCCCGCGGATGCACTTCCGTGCACGTGCACCCACTGTTAAGGCCCCTCTCATTAGCTGCTGCTGTTCGCTTCTTTCCTGTTCGCACTTTTGTTTCAGTGCTCATTACACTTCAGGCAGAGTGTGACGAAGAGTCTATTTGTGCTGGTTGCCACTCTACTATCCCCACACTATGCACTTCAAATAAAACCCTGCTGCTGTTCCTAACTTCATGTCCGTACTTCTCTTTGATATCCATCACACTTCAGGCAGAGCGTGGTGAAGAACCCAGACGTGCTAGTTGCCATTCTACTATCTGAGCATACCTTCATGGCAAAGGTATGCTGTGCTTCACGTTTTTCTGCCCTGAAACAAAGGTGTCCCTCGGTCCAATTTTCACTTTTCATTAGGTAGTGGTGCAGATATAGTTTGTTTTAGACGGTGATGCTTATTCTAACGTTTTGTGGTGTCTCTGTTTCCTGATGGCAGCATGGTTTTCCCCTCGTGCCTTCGCTTGCATCCAAGCTGCGACACCAGCCACTGGATGTGGTGCTGGAGGCCTTTCAGAGCGACCTGGAGCACGTCATGCCTCACATGGACACAGAGGAATGAGAAGCAGAAGCACGAGGAACAGACGATGAGGATTAGACATCCGCATATCAGACAGCCAGTCACCAGCCACTGGATGTGGTGCTGGAGGCCTTTCTGAGCGATCTCGAACATGTCATGCCTCACATGGACACGGAAGAATGAGGACGAGAGGAATGTGTTATTGAGAATCACGTTCCTGTGCGTTGCCTCCAGCCATTCAATGTGGTGCTGGAGGCCTTCCAGATCGACCTGGAGCATGTCATGCCTCACATGGACTCGGAGGAATGAGGATGAGATGCACGAGGAACAGAAGAAAGAGAAGAAGTTACATTTTCATGCTCTCCCACCAGCCAACCACACTGGCCACTGGATGTGCTACTGCTGGAGGCCTTCCAAAGTGACTTGCAGCATGTCATGCATGCCTCACATGGATGCCAAAGAATGAGAAAGAGAAGTATGTGCGCATGGAGGTGGTTTTATGCATTGCATCGCCTTGGTATGTCATGGCCAATATGCACATGAAATAACCAGGACCAGAAGATTGTGTCAAAATGAGGAATGATGATCCATTGATGTTGGTTGGGGTACATATAACAAACCCTAACTTCTGTACCCCCTAAGACAAACCTCACTACAGGCTACAACATTTGACACACCCCCATAGCCTAAGTGAGGGGCGTCTAGCAAAATAAAAAGGAGTACGGTCACAAGACCAGTCCAAAAGAAAACAAGGCTCAGGGTGGATCACAACGTCACCACACTCTCTGAGCACAAGCAACAGTGGCCACAAGGCCAGTCCAAGAGATCACAAGTATATATAGCAAGAGTACAGACGAAGCAGGCAATAAACTCAAGCCTACACATGACTAGAACCTGTGTCAACAAGGCCTAACTGCACACAACACCTCTGGTGGTCACGAGGCGGAAGCGCCTTGGTGAAGATGTCTGCAGTGTTGGCCTCGGACTCCACAAACTCGAAGCGAGCCTGTCCACGTCTCTGCAACTCTCGCAGGAGAAAGTACCTGACGTGAATGTGCTTCACTCTGCTCTCCAGTCGCGGCTCACGACAGAGGAGGATCGACGCCTTGTTGTCAGTGAACAAGGTCGGTGCAGAGCTCGGTCGCTCACCAAGGTCGGCGAGCAAGAAGGTCGACCAACGCAACTCCTGTGCCGCCATGGCACCAGCGTAAATCTCAGCCTCAGCTGTAGAGGTCAAGACAGAAGAGGAGCGCGTGGAACGCCAGGAAACAGCTCCAGAACCCAGACTGAAACAGTACCCCTGAGTAGACCTGTGAGTCTCAGCGTCGTCAGCGTAAGAGGAGTCACAGTGACCAGTGAGTACGACAGACTGCTGCCCTCCAAGAACTAGCCCCACGCCTGATGTAGTCGCTAGGTACTTCGCCACCCTCACAGCTGCCGTCCAGTGAACAGGACGGTGTCTCCCTGGCGCAACAAAGCGCGCAAGGATGCTGAGAGGGAAGGCGAGGTCCGGGCGAGTACAAGTCATCAGGTACATGAGGCAACCCACAAGCTCTGCGTAGGGATCACTAGGCTCAAACGGCTCGTCAGGAAAGGGACCAGTGAGTCTGTGGTCAACAGCGAGAGGTGTGCGCTGTACGGTGGAGTGCTGAAGCCCGAACCGCTGAAGGACCTGCTGCACCATGTGTGACTGTGAGAGTGTAATGGTGCGAGCGGCTCTGTCCCTGGTGATCTGCAGGCCAAGGTAGTGGCGCAGCTCACCAAGATCAGTGCACGTGTGTCTCTTCTGCAGTTCGGACTTCACGTCTGCCAAAGCAACCCTGTCCGGAGTGGCGAAAACGAGGTCGTCGACGTAAACCAGAACAAAGAACGGTGTGGAGCCACGACGAACGAACAGCGACGGGTCGGCAGAAGACGGCTGGAACCCAAGGTCAGAGAGGGTAGAACGCAGAGTGTCGTGCCACTCACGAGGGGCCTGGCGAAGACCGTAAACAGGTCGCCTCAGCCTCCACTGGGTCCCAGGAGGGAAGGTGCCAGTGAAGGCCGAGGGACGACGCAACCAGACCTCCTCGTGTAGGCTGCCCTGAAGGAAAGCAGTGGAGAAGTCGAGAGAGTGTAACTCGTAGTCTCTCTGTGCTGCTACGTGTAGTAACACACGAAGAGTGGTCATCTTCGGGGTAGGTGCGAAGGTCTGAAAGAAGTCAACTCCCTCGCGCTGACTGAAACCTCTAGCCACGTAGCGCGCCTTGAAGACCGGGGGAGATCCCAGTGGCCGCTTCACCCTGTAGATCCACATGCCGTCGACTACGTTCGCCCCAGGGGGGGGAACCTCATCGACGTAGGTGCCTGTGGATCTGTAGGAGGCCATCTCTGCGTCCATGGCAGCTCTCCACTGAGAGGCCCAAGGCCCTGACACTGCCTCAGCGTAAGTGCGAGGAGTCGGAATATCAAGGGCGTCGGGGTCACCCTCAGGGGCGAGGAGCATGGCACAGAGATGAGGGGAAGCGGCCGCCAGGAACTCTAGCTCAAACTGCCTGTCCTCTAGGGCGTCACAGCCAAGGGCAGACACACCCCCGACGGCCAGAGGACTGGTAGGAGGAGCAGCCACAAGCGTGGTGGCGTAGTCAAGGCGGCGGGTAGAGGCAAAGTCAGTAACTGCGGCAGTAAGAGCGGACACAGAGGACACAGAGGCACGAGGGTGAGTAACAAGAGAGGCGAGAACACGAGAGAGAACAGGACGGTACGTGCGGTAGTAGTCAGTGACAGGAGTAGGGAGCGACACAGTGAGGGCCGACTCAGGAGGAGACGGAAGCACAGACTGAGACGGACGAGGTGGACTAGAAAGAAGGAAGGCAGTACGAAGGTCAGTGAAGGGAACAGGAGACGAGGGACGAGCACGAGGGGAGCGACGAGTAGCCCAAGAACGAGACGGAGGAGGAGAGGACAAAGGCGGAGAACTGGGGAAAGCAGCGGGGGAGGAGTCAGGAGGAGGAAACGTGGGACCGTAGACAGGAGGAGAGGCGGAGGAGGGAGGAGAAGGGGAGGGGAGACCAAGGGTCCGAAGACCCGAGACAGGAGGAGGAAGTGGCTGCTGCTGCTGCTGCTGCTGCGACTGCTGCTGCTGCGCAAGCGGCTGCTGCTGGGACTGCTGCTTCTGCGGGTCCAGCTGCTGCTGCTGCTCCTGCGGCTCCAGCTGCTGCTGCTGCTGCTCCTCCAGCCGCTGTAACTCCCTCTCCTCTCTCTCCAACGCTAGCTGCTCGTCACGGGCACGGCGAACACGAGCCTGGTGCCTAGTCGGGTAGGGGTGGGGGGGCGGAGTAGTGTCCGAAGCAGCGGTAGCTCCAGAGTCCACCCCCGAAGAACCAGGCGCACCACCCCCAGAGGCAGCACTAACACCAGCTCCAGACCCAGGCTCGCCAGAACCCGAAGGAGGCGCACTCTCACCCCCAGTGTCCGCACGACCAGCACCAGCTCCCGGACGACAAGAGTCCTCTGCACCCACCGGGTCAGCTCCAACTCCAGAACCAGAAACTCCAGCTCCAACTTCAGCTCCAACCCCAGCACCCCCAGAACCAGAAACTCCAGTGCCAACTCCAGCCCCAACTCCAGCTCCAACTCCAGCTCCAACTCCACCACCCCCAGAACCAGAATCCGGTACAGGAACAGGCGCAGCACCAACCTCTCGAGAGCTAGCACCTGCGGCACGCTGCGAGGAGGACTGTGGGGAGGGAGGTTGTACCGGAGAGGCTACCGAAGGAGGAGGGGTAGCCTGGGACACACCCGACGGGGCTCGACCAGGGGGGGGAGGCTGTACCGGGGGAACAGGAGGGGGAGCGGCAGTCAGGAAGAGGGGGGGAGGAGGAACCTGGAGACCTCGACTGGGGTACCTGACGTAGTACGGAGTGGACTCCTCGAAACGGACGTCACGGGAGTCAAAGAACCGGTGAGAGGGAGGGTGGTAAAAGGTGAAGTCAGAGGAGTCCTCAGGGAAACCAAGGAAGACACAAGGGGACGGCACGAGGCGAGAGCTTGTCCGCGGAGGTGTCGCGGACAAGAGCCAAGCACCCCCAGACACGAAACCGCGACGCAACACCAGGGGACCTTGTCCAAAGACTGGTCGGTGAAACCTCTGGTCGAGAGACACGTGGCCAGAGGTTCAGCTGGTGCGCGGCGTACCTGACCGCGTAGGGCCACAGAAAATGGGGGGCACAGGCGTGAGTCAAGGAGGTGCGGGCGATCTCCATGACCAGGCCTATGCGGCGCTCAGCAACCCCATTCTGCTGTGGGGACTCTGGAAGCGTCCAGGACTGACGAATGCCCTGCTCGCGACAGAATCCAGCGAGAATGCCGGAGCGAAACTCACCCCCACGGTCGGAGTGGAGGCAGCTGACACGACGACCACGAGTGTCCTCGGTGGTGAGCAACCACCTGATCAGCGTAGAAGTCACCTCAGACTTCTTCGCCAGAGGGAACACTGTGGTGTAGCGGGAGAAGTCGTCAACGACCACCAGAAAGTAGCGCTCACGCTCAGGGCCTAGACGAGGGGCGGGGCCCCAGACGTCCAAGTGAAGCGTCTCAAAAGGCTCGGTGGCCGGACGAAGGGAGGAGGAGTGAGGGGCGGCGCGCAGCCGACCCTCGACGCAGGGACCACACGGCGGCGCAAGCGAAGGCGGCAGCGACGGCAAGACACGTGGGAGGCCTAGGACAAGACGCTAACTAGACATAGCACGCAGACGAGGAAGGGACGGGTGCCCCATCCGGTGGTGCCACAGAACGATGGGGTGGGCAAGCGACCGGCAGAAGCACGACGCAGCGACTGGAGCAGACGTAGGAACCTGACACGACACAGACACCTGGGGGGACGAAGCAACCTGGTGAGACGCGGGGACCCGAACGGGGGGGGGAACCGGGGGCAGTGGCAGTAGGGGCGGCTGCTGGTGCGACCGCTGGTGCAGCTGCTGCTGCTGCGGCTGCTTCTGCTGCTGCGGCTGCTGCTGCGGCGCACGCGGGCTAGTGTGAAGAGTGTAGAGACCTGAGCCCGG